TTTACTTGGTACCCGCAGTCAGGTGAATAGGACAAGCCAGTTACATATCTGCTAGGTTTGAATAATGCCACACGAAAACAACAAGTAACATAGAAGATGGAAATTTTAGGAGATGGAGGAGTGGCACGAAGGTAAACGAAGCCACAAGAATCGATGAGTAAACGTGAAGTATCTTGAAACATAGTTGGAAATTATAGTGAAGATGCTACCAGATAAGCGGTCCGCACTGATGTGTGGCCAACCAATGAGCTTGAAGAATGTCAAGAGCTCAGACAACCTCGTGACGGAACGTGATAAGTACCTGCATCAGTCGGTTATCCACAGTCGGGGTCATAGAGGCTCACCGAAACCTTGGGACACGGGTAAACCGATTTCCCACAGCTAGCTAAGCGTAACGTATGAGACCGTGGGCAAGCTCCGAGCACGCCAGAAACCCTTCCCTTCTAATTAACGATCTGTCAGAGCCAGATTCTCCCTGGACCGGATACTTGAAATTGCTTCACAGTGAAGAAACGGGCTCCGAACCAATGAAGAAGCTAAAGCACTACATTTGTAAGCGATGTAAGGATTACATCATGACCCAGGAAGGAGGGCGAGATGTTAGTACCAGGAATCTTGAGTAATCTCTAAGGGAGCCAACATGTCGACCTTTCTGATAGGATTTTTGATTTGAGTTGCGAAGTTTCATAGCCATGAAGGCAGCTACTTTAAACAATTAGACGAAGCAATTAACTCTTACTGTTAGTTACCGCCACCTGCCCATCTTAAAATTGTAAATACGAAAATCGACTCTTCGCCTGTTAATTTGTGGGAAAGTCCAGTGCGGCTGGTTTATTTAAGGCTCCTTTTTCGATAGTTGGAGTGCAGGAATCTTATTGTCATCGGCAACATGTTCGAGACAGCCACAGGATTGTGCACGACACGAATCACGGAAACTAGCCATAAAAATAGTTGCTGAACCGGCTATGGGAGAGTCAGACTAGACCACAGAAACGGCATCTCGTTCCAAGGGAGGTTCTACGACAGAACAACTTACCTTTACGTCTCTCGTTATCTTGTACAGAGTGAGTGCTGCCAATCAAAGGAGCATTTGAAGAGCACGGTTGCACGACGATGTCCAATTAGTGAATATCCCTAAAAGGGTGACTTTTTCAAAACCAGATCTATGATAGGCAGTGTATGTTAGAAGTTTGCGTTATTTGCCCTAATGTGCCCATAAGGGCGTAATTTCAGATCGAATGTCAGGCATGTAACGCAACCTATACAGAGGAGACCGGGAGGGTTCTAACCGTCCGTGTCAAGGAACGTCTGGCTAGCATGGGCATACATACAGGGGGAGGGCCAAAAAAAGTCACTTTTCTTCATTGACTTTCGAGGCGCTATAAGTTACACTTTATTAAATTCTGATCGGACATTTTACCACCATATTAAAGAGCATATCAAATACTATCATGACACTCCGCCACAGCCTTCTGGACGAGCGCCATCGAGAGATTCTGGCACGCGACCGCGATGTGGTGCCTGAGATCAGCGAGATAGTCGATTTCTCCGCCACCTATTGAACTCCGCCCGAACCGGGTAATTGAGGGGATTCAGGTCAGGTGACCTACTTGGATATTCCATCTTCTTTAGGTACTCAGCCCCCTTCCATTCCAAGTAGGCGAGTGTTTCTCCAACGCCCTTCGATTTCATGTGGTGGCACTCAATGCTGTAGTACAAAGTTTCCAAGAAGGTACGGGCGACCACATGTGAGGAGGATATTCTTCACGAGTTGCCCAATGTAACCGCCAGCGCTCACCTTCAGTCCGGGGTCCACGAAGAAAATATTGGTCTTTCCATTCCAGGTACGTCCGGTCCATACCATCAACCCGCGCCTTGGCGACTGCGGTGAAGATGATGTCCTAGACCGTGGCGACGTTGTCGGAGCTGCTCGATGTTGGAGGTCATCCAGATCGAGAGTACTGGTCTCCAGGTAGCTATCCATGGGTGACTCCATACTAGAAGTTTCGCAGCTGTTTGGAGGTGACATGAATTCCAAAGGTCTTCT